GTATATTATATGTGATATACATATAGAGAGACTGCTGCATATTGTATCTGAATCGATTTTCTTCTGAAATTTGGCAGCTTTTGCGAAAAGGAAGTGATATATATATGTATATGTGATATACATATAGAGAGACTGCTGCATATTGTATCTGAATCGATTTTCTTCTGAAATTTGGCAGCTTTTGCGAATTAAAAAGGAAGTGTGACCGTATTTGAAAATCTAAATAGATCTTACTTGTAAGTACAGCGGTAAAACGTCTGGCACTGCATCTATATTTGTTTATGATAGCAAGTTCGTTTTTGTCTATTAACTCATTATATATATGCTGTAGCTGCTCCAGTAAATCTTTCACCTGTTTTTTTAAATAATTTTATATACCGTTTTTATATATGTATAACGATGACATTCAAAAAAAATTGTTTGTACAAAAATTTATTTGATTAAAATATTTTTCCTCTTTGATATAAATATGTGTTGAGTAAGCCGTTAACTCATAAGTTATCCTGTCAGTTTTCAACTTTGTAAGTCATCTACTTACAGCTTTGATATTGACACAGAACATGTTATATTTTATCACAAAGAGAGCAAAGAAAGATGCGGAAGATAAAACTTTGACGACGAAATCCGGAGTACATTTTTGTGAAATAAGTGATGTACACTGTAAATAGTAATTTTATTTACAAGTTTATTAAAAAATTAAGTAAATATTACGTTAAACGGAGCAATGAGATACGACTGTGTCCTTGACATATGTTGTCAAGGTCATCACCCTGAATGACACTCAAAAGGTTTTAACCGTTGCTCATTGTGTTCATTAAAAAGTTATTAACAAATATTGCGTTTAACGGATTATATATGCATTACAATCCTGAAAGATCAAGGTTATATGTACGTTGAATTTCGCATTGTCCTGCAAAGTACATGCGTGGAAGCAGTGGGTTCTTCCCACCCCCGCCCTTCCCTACGGGGGGGGGGGGGTTTTACTTCCGGAAGATATAACCTAAACCAAACCAAATTTTAGTTTCAAATCAGAAATAGGTTTGGGTTAGGTTATATCTTTCGGAAGTGGAGCCCCTTCGTAGTGGGGGCGGAATCCACTGCGTCCACGCATACATTTTCCCATCCACACAACAATTGTGAGGTGAACCTTGCTTCGCGTTGTAAATTATATGCATGGACACAGTCGGTTGCGCCCCCCCCCTCCCTACAAGGAGGCTCCATTTCCGGAAGATATAACCTAATCCAAACCTATTTCTGATTTATAACTAAAATTTATGCTTATATTAATGCTTCATAACTTTTGAACGGATCGTGACCGCTACTTTTTTCAAGATCAGGGTCACACAAAATGATGACCATGACAACATATATCAAGGTCATGGTCATATATGAGATTGTGATTAATTACCTTACTTATAATTCGTGAAAATTCTTTTGTTAATAACCTTTTAATAAACAATGAGCGACGGTTAAAATCTTTTGTTATTCAGGGTGATTTTTCTAAAGTCATAAGAGCGCGCGCACACACACGCATACACAAATTTTTTGTTTTATATTATTGGATCTATCTTAAATAACTTTTGTATTTATTTGCCAAAAAATTCTATTTATAAAAACAAGTTATAAGTAAATAAACAATTAAAATGTCAATATAGATAAAATTTTGGTTTCTCAATAATAATAAAAATTTATATATATATATATACATATATTAATTAGTTCAACTACAAAATTAAACCATAAGTGCAAATACCTATGACTATATACAGTTATGATTTATAGTTGATACAATTTTATTCCAATCTAAATTGTAAAATATATTTAAGTTATATCACACGAAGGTGAGAGAAGGCAATTAAGAGCCAACGGAGTAATTTGTGCGCAAATTTTATTATAATCGAATTATATCAATTAACATAATAAAGTAGCGAAGATTTAATAATAAAAAGCCAACGGAGTAATTTGTGCGCAAATTTTATTATAATCGAATTATACAATATTAACATAACAAAGTAGCGAAGATTTAATAATAAAAAGCGATTGTGTTTTGATCCTTTTTTTGACCATCTTCAGCGCAATTACGAAGTAAATAAAGAAACTGAGCTGTTCAAATGTAATGTCAAAAATAAATCGCAAACATATGATTACAAAAAATTGCAACGAACAAGAATGAATCGCACATGCTATCAAGAGGCAAATGCCACATCAAACGCTCGAGACAGATTGTCAAGTCTTGCCATATCGCACATAACATAAAGAAAATAAATACAGAGAAGTGTTTACAAATAAGACGGCGTGACATTTAAAGTTTCGGTAATTTATCGATTACATTTGTATAAATATGATATAAACATTCTGTGTCTGTTAATGAAATTGAGGCTATTTTTTGCCTTTTAATATATACCATTTCAGAAATTAAGTGTTTTCTAAGCAAAGGTTCATGATCCAAAATCTCAAGACCGTCCCAATCAAAATCATGATTGCATTCTAAATATGACCTGTTAAAACAGAATGGTTCGTCGTGTTCCATCTAATATGATTGCGATGTTCAGATATTCTTGTGTGTAAGGCCCTGCGCACAATAGAGAAAATATTAAGAATAGTAATAAAATATTAAATATCAGGAGGAGCAATTTGGAATTATTTTACTTCAAACAAGGAAACGGAATGTATTAACGCATAATGAAATAAAAAAAATAAT